GCCTCCCTCAGTTTCCCTTTTTGCTTACACCATAAAGATCCAATTCCAGAACAAAACTGAGAGTCAGTTTGCAGTCAAGATTTAGATACAGAAAAGAAGCTTGACTATATGTTCACCTTGTGTCCCCATTGTAGAATTCCAGGGTCTCTTTGATCACGTTGTGAACTGCATGGCATAGGCCAATCACCCGAAACACTTTCACGTGGATCAGGGTGCCACAGACATCCACCTTCCAAGTACAGTGCTTAGATCTACACATGTTTTCCCTACAAACCACCACCACCAAGAGTACATTAAGTCCTAAGAGTCTCTGCTCCAAGTCTGAAACTCTACCTTCATCATAAGTGGACTGTAAAATGTTCTAAGATAAAAGGAATGTAAGACCTTCCATGGTGCTATCTATAGGCACTGGAAACAGCCTATTCCAGAGCTATAAGGGCCCTCTCTTGAGCTTCAAAGGAAGAAAATTCAGGGCAAGGAAAGGCTGAAATAGTTCCTGATTCAGACCTCAGTTCTTCACTGTGATTACTCAAGCAGCCCACTTTCTTTCATCCTTTTAAAGACTTCCTCATATGATCTTTGTGAAAATACTCTGCAAATGTGGGTTATTACTCAAAAATTTGTTTTAATTTTCATTATCATTACATCTAGCCGGGAGGAGAGTAGTATGTTTCAGCTGTGCTGTACTCTTCTTTGATTGCCTCAAAAACTCTTCAGGAAGAGGTTAATTTGGGCTAGATGAGCATCATTGTTTTGAGACTTCCTGGCATTCACACACTGAACCTCTTAAAACAAAACTGAAATAGCCCTCAGATCTGTTCTCTTGCTTCTAAGGAATTTGGTGTCAATAAATGTGCTTTATTAAAATGATTAAAGAGATTGAATGCTGTTCCAGTTCTGAAATGTGTCATGACACATCAGCATAAACTATGCCATTGAGTGTTGTTTTTCAGAAAAAAATTGTGTGGCAGGAAGATTCTTAACCAAATGAACCTCTGACTTCTTAAAAGGGCAAAGTGAATTAGGCACTAACCTTTTAAAACCTTTTCTAAACCAGCATGTAGTAACCTCCATGACTCAGTAATGGCCTTTGAAATTCCTCCCACTCTCCACAGGAGTTAAGAGACCCACTAACCTGACCACTCAAATAAACAAAGTTTCTCATGTACTTCCTCACAGGCTACATACCTGTCAAAGAAAAAGACAAATAGCAAGAATAATAACTAATTATTTAAGATTTTCTCCCATAATTATCCTAATAACAAAGGATTTCTGGACAAAAATGGACAACAGGCATAATAAATCATACAAATCTCTTTTGTGTGTGTGCATGTGTGTTTGTATGCTTGCAGGTATATATGTGTGCATGTGTGTGGAGGCCAGTAGACAGCCTGGACTGCTATTCTTTAGGAGATTTCCACCCCTGTTATTTTTAAATTTGTATTATTATTTTGAGACAGGGTCTCTAAATGTCCTGCAACTCACTGAGTAGGTTAGGCTGATTATACCCATGAACCCCATATATTTCTGTCTTTTCCTCTCCAGTGCTTGAACTATAAGTGCATGTAGCATAAGAGGCTTTTTTTGCATGGGTTCTGGAGATCAAACTCGGGTCCTCAAATTTGCAAGGCAAGTGTTTTACCAACTGAGCTGTCTCCTAATCCCCCAAATCTCTGCTCTTGTTCAGACTCATTATCTCCCAAGCAGCACCTTCAACAGGTGAGAACTTAGAAATGTCATGGAATGCCAAAATGAGGTCTATGTTCTTGACAACTTGTCTCTGATAGGCCAAATTTCACCATCATTTCTTTGGTCTCAGTAGTCCAGCTTTGTGACCCACTCATGTACTGACATAATGCCTTTTAAGGTCACTAGTGACCTCCACATACCAAATACAATGACTGATTGTATTCACTTGTTGAGGCTGCCACAATAAAGTACCACACACCTGGGGACTGAAAGCAACAAAACTTTATTTTCCCACAGTTCTGAAAAGCGGAAGTAGGGGATGGAGGCACAGGAGCAATAATTTCTGAGATTTCTCCTTCTGTGTGGATGGCTCTTTCCTGTGTCTCCATGGTCTTTCCTTTTGCTTCTGGTTATGACTGCATTTCCTCTGTGTATGTCCCAGTTGTACTGGGTAAGGCCTATGCTGATGATGGATGTCATCTTAACTTAATCCCTTGAAGACCCACTCTCCAAATATACATCCTCTGAGGTCCTGAGTCAGGACTTCAGTATGGAATTCAATTGAGCCAATAATGCTATTTTTCACATCCTCCTCACCCTGTATATTTCAAGTCAACTTTCTGAATATCAGACTTACCCGTACTTTTACTGTATTTTGTTGTTTGAGTTTATATTTTGTTGGTTGGTTGTTTACCTCTTTTGCTGAATCCCTCATCTCAGTGGTCTTTAAACATTGGAGGACACGTGGACACTTTAGTCACCACTGTCTGTACTCACAGTTCAGTGATTCCATTATATCCCAGGGACTAAAGCTATCTACATATACTTTTGGCTTTCAAATGTAAAACTCCAGACTGAGTCTTCTCCCGTGATGTTGATGTATCTAACACATGTGTCTCCCTGCCTACTTCCTACTTTAAATTGGAAGTTTAATTCCTGGTCTAACTCCTCCCTCAAACCTGTTCCTTATGTATCTTTCCTGTCACAGTAAATAGCACTGTTATTTACCCAGACATTTGGGGTAAAAGTTTGAGGTTATTGTCAACTCCCTTCTTTCTCTCATACCTCACAGCAAGTCCAACAGCTTTACTTGTAAAGTACATCAGACTGGACTGTTTCTGGATTCTGCCATCACTGCTCCTTATGCAAGCATATCTCAGCTGGAACAGAGCTGCAGCCCCTAATCTGTCTCCTTTCTTCCTCTTTAAGCCTCTCTTATAGTTTGTTCTCTGCACAGCAGTCATGATGATTCTTTTCAAACACTTTGAATGATGCAACCTGTGCTTTCAAAGCTTCCAGTAGCTTCCTGTGACACAGAAAGAAAATCCAAGTCCTTTCCAATAGCTCACAGTTCCCTGTGTGAAATCATTATTTCTAATTATTATCCCCTGCTTCCCTTTTTTGCTAATTTACCCCAAGATGCTGAGTTCTGAGCTGTTTTTATCTTAAGTTTTTAAATTGAATTTTTGCAAATTTCCTGCAATATATTTTGATCACATTTAGATACCTCCCCCTATCTGCATCCCCCTTACTACCTTCCTCCCAATTTAATGTTGTATATATGACCTATCAAGTCAAATTTGTGTTCCCTCTGACCCCTTAAGTGTGGGTCAGTCCACTGGAGCATGGGTAACTTACCCAAAGTCCTATGCTTCCTTTTTTAAAAATTATTATTTTTATTGTATGTGTATAAGTGTATTGCTGTAAGTATACTTGTGTCATGTAATGCCTGTTGAGGTTAGAAGAGGGCATTGGATCCACTGAAACTGGAGTTATGGATGGTTGTTAGCTGTCATGTGGGTGCTAGGAACCACGCCCAAAACCTCTGCAAGAGCAGCCAGTGCTCTTAACTGCTGAGCCATGTTTCCAGATCCTCTAGAAGCTTCTTAATGTATATACACATATAAAATCAAAGGAGATTAAAAGGGGTTAACATATAACAATGGTCAATGCCCCTACAAGATTCCATAGGCTAGGAAAGAAAAAAATTCCAGTCACAGGAATGGACTCCCTCTTTTGAAACTGCTGACTAGGGGCCTGATAGACCCTCAAACAATGCTGGCCATTGCCCCTGATCCTGATTATCTTCCAGAACTTGATGGTAAGAACCTATTGCTAAAGAGTTGTACATGAGTTGTAGAACAAACGAGGAGAAATCAAGCTAGTGCTGACCTCAAAGTTTCAACACTACTGGCTAGCTTTCACAGTGCTGGAAGTTGCTATGCAAGCTACTGGAAAAGAAAAGTAAACATCAACCTTTACCAGCTGCGGATCCTGTGAGCGATAACAACTGCCTTGGCAAAATGTAACCACTGGTAAATCAGGGCATGAATGTTGTGGGAGTAGCCAACCGTGTTGACCTTGGATTTAGTGATCTGCTTCACAAGATGGGGCCCATATCTGATGCTGATATTAGGCCTAGGAACCTACGGCTAAACAGGTCACAGGCCATGGGGGAGAGTCTAATGCTATCATCCTGCTAACTGGACACAGTATTAAACTGTGCTGCTTTAAAGAAACCAAGACTGCAGCCATCTCATCTTCTATTTTCTCTTCTCTAAGCAGCCTTTGCTGTGGTGGTCACTGTTCTCTTCAGACTTTATTCCAGTATCTGAATAGATATCTCAACACATAGACCTTTCCTGATCATTTAAACTATGGTCTTTGTCACTCTCTTAATGTTCTGTCTTGTTTCCCTTTTCAGTCTTTGCAATTTTCCTGTTTTATTGCAAAATAGTTTTATTTTATAAGCTTAACTTTTAAAAATTTAGTTGACATGATATTTGCACGTGTATCTGGGGTGCCATATTATGTTTTGATATATGAACACATTATATATGTACATATTGTATTATTATATATGTATAATAATCTAGTCAGTGAATTAGCATAACTGTCACTGCAAGCATTCATTCTTTCTTTGCAATGAGAACATTCAATATCCTCTCTTCTGGATATTTTGAAATGAACAATGTCTTACTGCTAACGGTGGCCATCTTGTTGAATTGAAGAACACTAGAACTTCTTTCTCTTACAAGGCTGTAATTTTGTAGCCAAGCACTTTTCTGCATCCCTTCCCCCCTTGTCTTTTGCAGCCACTGCTCCATTTTTCACTTCCTTGATAGCAATATTTTCATGTTCCACACAAGAGTGAAATCACATAGTATTTGTCTGTGTCTGACTTGTTTTGTGTAATATCTTCCAGGTTCAACCACATGGATACCACAAGCTTTGCTTTGCAGGACTGTTCCTTGTATCTTTAAAATTGGGGTGTATTGTTTCCATTTTATTTGTTTCAAGAAAGCCTGAAGTACCCCTGGCAATGTGCAAAGAGACACGTCTTTGGTGGTGGTGTTCTTAAATTAGTCAGGGGCAGAGCAGATGGTAGTCCTTTGTTCATCCTACCTCTGATGCTTGGCTCAGTGGCCAAAGCTGTTTCATGCCTAGGGCACAATCCAAAAGAAAAAAGAAGAAGAAGAAAATAAAAAATACAAAAAAGAAAGTTTGAAATTTTCCTTTTAAATTCTTCATTGACCTATTGATTGTTCAGAAGTATGTGGATTAATTTCCATATGTTTGCAGAACGTTTCTAAAGTTCTTCCTGTAGTTACTTTCTAGTTTTCTGCCATTGTGGTCAGAAAAGACACTTAAAATGATTATGATATTTTTAATTAAACTTGTTAAGGTATTTTTGTAGCCTAACATAGGCTCAGTCTTAGAGAATGTTCCACATAATAAGGAGCATGTATACTCTGAAGGTGTTATGTAGAATGTTCTGTCTGTTTTGTCCATTTGTAATAGGGTGTGGATTTAATTCCATCTGTTTATTTTTTGTTTTGGTGACCTGTCCCTGGCTAAAAGTAGTTTTTTTGAGGTAGCCTGCTATTATCAAATTGCAGCCTATCTCTCCTTTTAGTTCTAACAGTAGTGTCTATACACTGAGTGCTGTGGTGTTTGTTAAGGATATATGTGCATTTATAATTATTACATGCTCTTGTTGAATTGAATATATATATAAATGTTTTGACTTAGTTTATTTTTTGTTTCTTTTTTAATTAGTTATTTAAAAACCATGTAATTGGTAGAAGCATTTCATTACAACAGCATTGACATATTCAATAACAGTTTCCAGAGCAGAGATGCATCTCCTTCAAAACTGGGTGTGATTTTTAGGTTCACAGTGTTGAATTAATACAGTTTTACATTATTATACTCAGTATAAACCCTATACGACATAAAATTGAATGAGGTTTTAACCTTTAAAAATGATCTGCATTTCATTTGAAATATACTAGGTTTTTAAAATACACAGTTTCATACGGAAAAATTCATTTTCAGTGCAATTGACATTATGATGTTTGCACATGCGTTTCTATTCTCTATATCTGATTATTACTAGTCATAGTTGGTTACTTTCTGAGATCCTTGGCATCTGAGCATGGATATAAACTGACTTAGTTTATTTTATAGTTTTCAATTAGTACAAAATATTGGGTCCACATTTCGTGTGTATCTTATAGTGAAGTGACTCTGTAAAAGGCATTTTTCAACTCTCTGACTTTTAACCAGAAAATTGCATTTATTCACATTAACAGTTATTCACGACAGGTAAGGAACTGCTCCTTCCATTTTGTTAATGGGTTTATAGTTGTGTAAATCCATTGGTCACACCTTCTTCCTTTGTTTCCATGTGTAATTTTATCATTTTCTGTAGTGATAAACTTTCATTCCCTTATTTTTAAAAATGTATCTCCTGTAATTTTTTTTGTGGTTAATTTAGGTTCACATAAAATGCCCCATAGTTGCAATAGAGTGTTTTAAGCTGTCAATACAAATATGTATGTCCTCCTCAAATTTATAATTTTTTGTCTTAATGTAGAATTTTTCATATGTATGATATTTACTGCTTATTGTAGATATATAGCTGGACTGTTAAAATTTTCTTCTTTGACTTACAGCCATCAAAGTAGAGTTTAAAGACCTATTCGCATTATTTTTATTTATGCATCTCTGTGTGTATGTGTGTGTGTGTGCCTGTCTGTCTGTCTGTCTGAGTATGTATACTACATGTTTGGGGGTGCTTGTGGAGGCCAGAAAGGTATTGAATCCACTGGATCAACAGTTACAGGTGGTTGTGACCCACCTGACCTGAGTGTTAAGAACTGATCTTGGACCTTTGTAAGAACAGAAAATACCCTTAATTGCTGAGGCACCTTTGTAGCCTCAACAATAGAGTTTTTATTGATATGCAGTATTATATATATTTATATGTAGAATATTTTTCTTTGCTGTATTGTACTAATAATATATATTTATTGTGTATAGTAATAAGGTATAGCATAATTTATCCAAATTTCCAGACTCTGCTAAGTTTCTACTTAGTATTTGCATGTTTTCTTTTGTTGTAAACTGCTAATTTTATTATATGGTGATCAGAAAAGATATCATATATGATTTCATTATTTAAATTTGTTAAGATTTGTTTTGTGACCTAATATATGATCTATGCTAGATAAAGTTCAGTATGCTGATAGAAAGGAACTGCATCTTCAGCTGTTGAGTGAGTGCTTTACAAATGACTGTTGGGTTCATTTAATCCACAGCGTTGTTTAACTCTGGTGTCATGGCTGATTTTCTTAGGTGGATGGAGCTGAACAATCTGTCTCCTGTGAAGAGGAGTGTTTCAGTTCTGCACTGTTTCTGTATTGGGGTCTATCTCTCCTTTAGTTGTAACAGTGTTTGTTTTATAAAATTGGGTACACTGCCATTAGGTGCATATAAATTCAATCTTTATATCCTGATCCTAAATTGAGCCCTCTATCTTTATATGGTGACTTTCTTTTTCTTCTTTTATAATTTGTGTCTTAAGGTTTGCTTTGTCAGACATAAACACAGCTGCTCCTGCTTGTGTTGGGCCTCCTTCCTTTACGCCCAGTCTGCGTGTCTCTACTTGTGAAGTGTGTATATTGTTAAGTCCTTTGGCTTTCCTCTTCAGTCAGTCTCTATCTTTTAATTGGAAAATTTGGTTTATTTTTATTCAAAGTTATTATTGGTAGATAAGGGCTGTGTCTGTCACATTTTCATTGCTGTGACAAAATAACTGCTATAAACAACTTCAGGAAGGTCAGGTTTATTTTCAGCTCATAGTTTCAGAGGTTTCTTTCACAGTGAGGGGGATGGTAGAGCAGAACCATTCATAGCACATGGATTGGGGGTGCACTTCACCAAAAGACAAGACCAAACAGAAGAAATAATTCTGAACTAGAAAGCAGGTCTTTTAAAATGATCTGTTCAGAAGGAAAAAGAGATAGACACCCCACCAAACAAAAATAAAATAAAAATAAATTCAATAAGGTAATGAAAAGCCTACAAAGCTTTTGGGCTATAATTATAAAAACAAACATTTGTACTGAGTTTCAATAGGAGAAGAGGAAAGCTTATTTCACACAATAATTACTGAAAACTTCCTAAGTCTTGTGGGAGATATAGACATCCAGATTGGCAGAGATCAAAGTAATCAATATAGATTCAAGTCAAAGAAGTCTCTAGGGCAGATTATAGTCAAACTTTCAGATGTATAAAACATGAAGAATTCTAAATGCTTCAAGAAAAACCATGAAGTCACACATAAGGGAATCCTTTTTAGATGAGAAGCAGATTTCTCAGCAAAATCCTTGCAGTCAAGAGAAAATCAGATAATGTATTCATTGTGCCAGAAGAGTAAAACAAGACAAATCAGTCAAACAACAAGAACCCAACTACCAGTCAACAGCACTGTACCTAACAAAGATAATCTTCAGAAATGGACAAATAAAGTCTTTCCCCATTTATGACAAGATCAAGCTCAAGGGAATGCTTCAATCAGAAATAAAACAATGAAAATTACTAACATCAAATATTAACTCTAAACCTCACTGGAGGGGGTAAATTCATAATCAAACCCATAATGTGACTTTGCTGCAATGGTGATATAAAATCTTTAAAATTTCTAGTTTTGAGGTTTGGAAGGCAAGGACTAGGTAAAGGCAGCTTGGCTTTGATTAGGTCATGCTGTACACATGCATAAAACATCACACTGAATCCCATTAATACGTATAATACATTCTAAATAAAATATTTTTCAAATTTCTACTATGGAGAGATTTCAAGATGGCTGAATAGAAGTGAACTCCCCATTCACAGAGAAACTTCAAAGTGACAAGTGCTTAACTGAACTTCAAAGTTCCTCATTGATGACAAGACATTATTTGAGATGAACAAGAGTCTAAATGGAACTTTGTAAGATTCAGATGCCTGAGATAACAGCACAGAAAGAGGAATGAAGCATCCCAGCATTTGCCACCCCAGCTCCACAGCCAGGGGATGGAAGGTTTCCCTTTACAGAGGTAAGGGTGACAGCAAACTATCAACGTGGCTTTGGCAATCTCACCTCCATAAGACTGGGAGCCTACTTAGAAAAGCATCCTGAAATGTACACAAGCAGCCATGTACTAGACAGTCTCCCTTCATCTCGCAGTGAACATCTAGAGATCTGGAACCAGGACTCACCCTGAGAAAAGAGCTTTCAAGCTGTTCATTTCTTGAACTTGAGGGTATTTCTGGCAGAACGGATTGTTTCACCTTCCACTGGAGCATCTTATGTTTAAAACAAACTTTTCTCCAAATCTGAAGTTTTGTCTTAGAGGAGATTGCTACACAATACCCAGTTACCTTTCAATGATGACTAAATCTACCACCTGGATTCGACACACAAGAGTTTTGTGGCCATTTCATGTACAAACCACCACAGGAACAATGCCTTTCTTACAGGGCTGTTGTAAGGATCAGGTATAAAAATTCATGTAAAACTCGAAGCAAATGCTTAGACCCTAACTGCACTCAGTGCCCATTAGCTTCTCTAGCTCAACAAAGCAGTGCTTTCCTTGGTACAGCACAAATTTATATTTCATTGCATGCCAGATATTATGTGAGGTAATGCGATAATAGGTCACAAGCTAGATTTTTTTCTTTGGTGTTCTAACAATCCAGTAACAATGCAAATTCACATGCAAATATCTGTCCTACAACTTGTTATGAACATGACACAGTGGCTAAGGAGATGGCTAGGTCAATAAAGTACTTACCAGGACCAGACTTTAGATCCTCAGGACTCATGTAAAATCCACATTGGTAGATCATGTCTCTTGTGGGTCTCTCTTCCCTCATGGGTCATTGGCCACTGAGCCATGAGGACAAAGGGAGCAGAGGCAATGAGCAGGGTTAGGAAGGCTGTGAGTACTATGGAAAAACCTTCTAGGAGTCAGCTTCAGTGAGACAGCTCATTTATTCAGGGGGGTTACAGAAATATATAGGATTGGGACAGCAGCCAAAGATTAACCAGATAGGTGTTCATAGTATGCTTTATTTCCATGTGGCAGGAGGACCCTATCATGTAAAAAGGGGAGGTGGGATTGCAT